TTTTAGGCAAATGAATACAAACATAAGAAGTAAACAATTAAAAATACCGTAATTGTAAACAAAAAAACATACAAACAACAATACACGGAACATTAAGCAGTAAGACAATATGTATATGTACAAACATATGTATATGTAAAAGCACAGCATTTTATTGTTATTTTATGAAGGTATGTTGGGGAAACGGAACGAATGTTGATTATGGATGGCGGAACGGAACACCTACGTTGAGGACTGTTGTTGCCGGTTTAACACCAAATTGCGATACACATGTGCACAATTGTCTGTGTCCGTTTTAAAGTTGATCCTTCTCTCATTAGGGGTGTTCGTAATGTGTAACATTTCCAAAATATAGCGTTTATTATAGTTCTTTTCTTCTTGTAGAATGGCAACATTATCGAAATCGGGATAGTGTCCCGTATCCCTACAGTGTGCTGACAAGGCCGTCTTATTGTCAGTTGAGCTGTTCCTTAACTTTATATTTGATTTGTGTGCGGAAATCCTTGTCTTGAGTTTAGTTTTAGTTGTCCCCACATATACTTTGTGGCATAAGTGGGACCCGTCGCCATTGCATGAGATTTTGTATATTACGTCAGATTTTTCGCATCTAGGAATCTTATCCTTAGTGTTGCTATATATTTTTCCTAATGTGTTGCTGCATGTAAATGCTAGTTGGACCTTCTCTTTATCATATATATTAGAATGTTTAATCCTCTCAGATATCCCCGGAACATATGTAGCGGTTTTGTATACTTTATTCTCATTATAAGTATTTTCTTTATCGGTCCTGACGTAATAATTCTGAATGAGTTTCCNCACGTAATAATTCTGAATGAGCTTCCTAATTAAGCAAGAGGGGAATTCGTTCTGTGCCAAAATTTGTTGGATTATATTTTTGTCCTTTTTATGAAAATGTTTGTCGCTAATAGTGAGATCTCTTCTAATAAAATTGGTTGCGGTATTTAAAATAGTCTTCCTCTCATGTTTCGAATTATAATTAATTAATCTCCCCGACGACGTAGGTTTTGCATACCAGTCAATTTTTAATCGGTTGTTCTTCCTGATTACTAGGGTGTCCAGATATGGTAGGTTTCCATCTTTTTCTATTTCTATCGTAAATTTAATCGTCTTTTGGTAGCTGTTTAATAAAGTAAGCATTTTGTCTATATCTTCTGTTTTAATTATGGCAAACAAATCATCCACATACTTGGTTAGGAGACGCGGTTTATTAGAACAATCACTTTCAAATTTGGTCAGTAAATCTTCCATTACTATATCAGCTATCACTGGTGAAGCTGGGGAGCCCATAGGCATTCCTGACAGTTGCTCAAATATTTTGCCATTATATTTAAAATATCGATTATCTTTTATGCAAAATTTTACCATACTTAAGAATAAATCCTTAGACAAATTTGTATGCTCTTTAATATCATTCCACTTCGAGGCAATAATATTTATAGCCAAATCCACCGGGATACTTGGGAACAACATCGAACGACACTAAACTTTCGTCATCATATATATACGTATCTTTAATCCTGTTCTTGAAATCAATCGCATTTTTAACATTGTAATTGGAAGATTTTGTAATGCTTCTAAGGGTATTGACAACGTATTTGCACAAATTGTAGGACGGGGACTTTATGTACGAACAAATGGGTCTGAGGGGTATCCCTTCTTTATGTATTTTTGGTAAACCATAGATTCTTGGTGGATTGGCTGTTTTACTAATAAGCTTGTTCTTTTCTTTCAAATCAATGACCTTGTTATTATATAATCTCTCCACTATTTCATTATTTTTGTCTTGTAATTTACTCTATCCCGGTGGATTTGGCTATAAATATTATTGCCTCGAAGTGGAATGATATTAAAGAGCATACAAATTTGTCTAAGGATTTATTCTTAAGTATGGTAAAATTTTGCATAAAAGATAATCGAAATTTTAAATATAATGGCAAAATATTTGAGCAACTGCCAGGAATGCCTATGGGCTCCCCAGCTTCACCAGTGATAGCTGATATAGTAATGGAAGATTTACTGACCAAATTTGAAAGTGATTGTTCTAATAAACCGCGTCTCCTAACCAAGTATGTGGATGATTTGTTTGCCATAATTAAAACAGAAGATATAGACAAAATGCTTACTTTATTAAACAGCTACCAAAAGACGATTAAATTTACGATAGAAATAGAAAAAGATGGAAACCTACCATATCTGGACACCCTAGTAATCAGGAAGAACAACCGATTAAAAATTGACTGGTATGCAAAACCTACGTCGTCGGGGAGATTAATTAATTATAATTCGAAACATGAGAGGAAGACTATTTTAAATACCGCAACCAATTTTATTAGAAGAGTTCTCACTATTAGCGACAAACATTTTCATAAAAAGAACAAAAATATAATCCAACAAATTTTGGAACAGAACGAATTCCCCTCTTGCTTAATTAGGAAACTCATTCAGAATTATTACGTCAGGACCGATAAAGAAAATACTTATAATGAGAATAAAGTATACAAAACCGCTACATATGTTCCGGGGATATCTGAGAGGATTAAACATTCTAATATATATGATAAAGAGAAGGTCCAACTAGCATTTACATGCAGCAACACATTAGGAAAAATATATAGCAACACTAAGGATAAGATTCCTAGATGCGAGAAATCTGACGTAATATACAAAATCTCATGCAATGGCGACGGGTCCCACTTATGCCACAAAGTATATGTTGGGACAACCAAAACTAAACTCAAGACAAGGATTTCCGCACACAAATCAAATATAAAGTTAAGGAACAGCTCAACTGATAATAAGAAGGCCTTATCAGCACACTGTAGGGATACGGGACCCTATCCCGATTTCGATAATGTTGCCATTCTACAAGAAGAAAAGAACTATAATAAACGCTATATTTTGGAAATGTTATACATTACGAACACCCCTAATGAGAGAAGGATCAACTTTAAAACGGACACAGACAATTGTGCACATGTGTATCGCAATTTGGTTTTAAATCGGCAACAACAATCCTCNTAATCAGTCCACCAGGCACAATCAAGAGTGTAAGTTGTGTTTAATGTATGTTTGTAATAATTTAAAGTTAATAATAAGTTATCGTGTTTGTATGTATATTTACAGTCCTGAAGATGACCTCAGATTGAGGTCGAAATATCGACAATTAAAAATATCAATAGAACGAAGTTTTTGCGTTTTATTTAATTGCTGGGCCTCGAGCTTGTTAAAAATGATTCATAATTTAAAATTCAAAGGCCAACAACAAAAACAAAATATGTTTAAGCGAAGAGCACACCGAAAACACAAAGACACGTCAAGAGTCTACAGAAATATTAAACACCAACAAACGTATCAAAAACTACCAAGGCATAACACAACACATGACAAAGCTGTCGGAGGCGACGAAGTCCCTGGAGAGGTGCAGGAGAACAGGAGTAACTCCCAACTTCATCGACAACGCTACGAAAAATATACTTTACATAATCAACAATAATACCAGTAACAAAGCATTACCAACAAAAATCACCAATTCAGTTTCCAAATTCATCAAAAATGTTCAGACCAAACTACTAAACCTGCTCATCAAAATCAAACATGAGCTGCTTGGAAAAAAGGAAAAGGAGGTAAATATCCTAAAGACGCAAATAAATCAACAACTAAACACACTTCACTTCACAACATTTTTTGAAAGTGAAAATCTACTAACAAAAAAACTTGCTGCAGATATTAAGAAGACACAAACAAACAAATACGAAAAACTAAAAGACAAACAAAAACAACTTTTAAACATAACGGGTGTACCAGGGTGGTTCTGCAACACGTAAACTACGCAAATTCCTAATGACATTCAACAACATTCAACAAGGAATAAAGAATTTCCATTATTTCAATTTATAGCAGATGGGGAAAACTGCATTCAAACAATCAAGGATAAAGAAAAACAAGAAATCGAAAGAAACAACTTGACGACACTAATACGTGACCATCTCAAGAAGAGAACAGAATCAACGAGAGATACGTTTATTCGCGATACTGTACATTCCACAAAAACATTTTTAAAGAACAATAAACACCTTTTAGTTCTTAATGCCGATAAAGGGAACGTAACCGTAGTTATGAACAAGGCTGAGTACGATACAAAGATGCAGTCAATCGTCAACAACATCTGCACTTACAGAATTTTGAAACGTGACCCAACCAGTAAATTACAAGACAAAAATAATGAAATAGTGGAGAGATTATATAATAACAAGGCCATTGATTTAAAAGAAAAGAACAAGCTTATTAGTAAAACAGCCAATCCACCAAGAATCTATGGTTTACCAAAAATACATAAAGAAGGGATACCCCTCAGACCCATTTGTTCGTCCATCAAGTCCCCGTCCTACAATTTGTGCAAATACGTTGTCAATATCCTTAGAAACATTACAAAATCTTCCAATTACAATGTTAAAGACGCGATTGATTTCAAGAACAGGATTAAAGATACTTATATCATATATGTAATACTCCTATATTGGCAGTAAGAGCTAGTACCGTCCGAAAACACTACAATACAGATATATCAATAATCACGTACGAAAGAAAAGGAACACATACGTTTATAAATAAACATGTACACGACACATTTACAAAACCGGCCCACTGGGAAAATAGGTAAGCACCTTGCGAGGTAAGCCATGTTTTCTTTCAGTTTTTAGTACCAAAATTGTCATCATGGCCAATGTCATCTACTAGTAAAGGGCAAAATGAACACCTCCGAAGACACATTACGTTGTCAGTTGCAAAATAACGTGCAGCCGAAGTTATTTCCAAGCACCGAACTACTCCGAGCGACTGCTCTGCATTACACGTAACTTACTTTGTAAAGCGGCTCAGAAGTATGTCTGATACCAAATGTACATTCTAAATTCCTACNGTCTCCTAACCAAGTATGTGGATGATTTGTTTGCCATAATTAAAACAGGAGATATAGACAAAATGCTTACTTTATTAAACAGCAACCCAAAGACGATTAAATTTACGATAGAAATAGAAAAAGATCTAAACCTACCATATCTGGACACCCTAGTAATCAGGAAGAACAACCGATTAAAAATTGACTGGTACGCAAAACCTACGTCGTCGGGGAGATTAATTAATTATAATTCGAAACATGAGAGGAAGACTATTTTAAATACCGCAACCAATTTTATTAGAAGAGTTCTTACTATTAGCGACAAACATTTTCATAAAAAGAACAAAAATATAATCCAACAAATTTAGGAACAGAACGAATTCCCCTCTTGCTTAATTAGGAAACTCATTCANAGGAGCAGAACGAATTCCCCTCTTGCTTAATTAGGAAACTCATTCAGAATTATTACGTCAGGACCGATAAAGAAAATACTTATAATGAGAATAAAGTATACAAAACCGCTACATATGTTCCGGGGATATCTGAGAGGATTAAACATTCTAATATATATGATAAAGAGAAGGTCCAACTAGCATTTATATGCAGCAACACATTAGGAAAAATATATAGCAAACACTAAGGATAAGATTCCTAGATGCGAGAAATCTGACGTAATATACAAAATCTCATGCAATGGCGACGGGTCCCACTTATGCCACAAAGTATATGTGGGGACAACTAAAACTAAACTCAAGACAAGGATTTCCGCACACAAATCAAATATAAAGTTAAGGAACAGCTCAACTGACAATAAGACGGCCTTGTCAGCACACTGTAGGGATACGGGACACTATCCCGATTTCGATAATGTTGCCATTCTACAAGAAGAAAAGAACTATAATAAACGCTATATTTTGGAAATGTTACACATTACGAACACCCCTAATGAGAGAAGGATCAACTTTAAAACGGACACAGACAATTGTGCACATGTGTATCGCAATTTGGTGTTAAACCGGCAACAACAATCCTCAACGTAGGTGTTCCGTTCCGCCTTCCATAATCAACATTCGTTCCGTTTCCCCAACAAACCTTCATAAAATAACAATAAAATGCTGTGCTTTTACATGTACATATGCTTGTACATATACATATTGTCTTACTGCTAAATGTTCCGTGTATTGTTGTTTGTATGTTTTTTGTTTACAATTACGGTATTTTTAATTGTTTACTTCTTATGTTTGTATTCATTTGCCTAAAATTTCACTTGTTTAACTTTTATTTCTGTACGCCTAATCAGTCCACCAGGCACAATCAAGAGTGTAAGTTGTGTTTAATGTATGTTTGTAATAATTTAAAGTTAATAATAAGTTATCGTGTTTGTATGTATATTTACAGTCCTGAAGATGACCTCAGATTGAGGTCGAAATATCGACAATTAAAAATATCAATAGAACGAAGTTTTTGCGTTTTATTTAATTGCTGGGCCTCGAGCTTGTTAAAAATGATTCATAATTTAAAATTCAAAGGCCAACAACAAAAACAAAATATGTTTAAGCGGAGAGCATACCGAAGACACAAAGACACGTCAAGAGTCTACAGAAATATTAAGGACAATTATGATATAAACACCAACAAACGTATCAAAAACTACCAACGCATAACACAACACATGACAAAGCTGTCGGAGGCGACGAAGTTCCTGGAGAGGTGCAGGAGAACAGGATTAACAACCAACTTCACCGACAACGCTACGAAAAATATACTTTACATAATCAACAATAATACCAGTAACAAAGCATTACCAACAAAAATCACCAATTCAGTTTCCAAATTCATCAAAAATGTTCAGACCAAACTACTAAACCTGCTCATCAAAATCAAACATGAGCTGCTTGGAAAAAAGGAAAAGGAGGTAAATATCCTAAAGACGCAAATAAATCAACAACTAAACACACTTGGCTCCACAACATTTTTTGAAAGTGAAAATCTACTAACAAAAAAACTTGCTGCAGATATTAAGAAGACACAAACAAACTAAAAGACAAACAAAAACAACTTTTAAACGTAAAGGGTGTACCAGGGTGGTTCTGCAACACGTCAACTACGCAAATTCCTAATGACATTCAGTGGCTTCTTTCTCTTGATCCTAAATTTGCCTTACCAACAAGTAATAAAGAATTTCCATTATTTCAATTTATAGCAGATGGGGAAAACTGCATTCAAACAATCAAGGATAAAGAAACACAAGAAATCGAAAGAAACAACTTGACGACACTAATACGTGACCATCTCAATAAGAGAACAGAATCAACGAGAGATAAGTTTATTCGCGATACTGTACATTCCACAAAAACATTTTTAAAGAACAATAAACACCTTTTAGTTCTTAATGCCGATAAAGGGAACGTAACCGTAGTTATGAACAAGGCTGAGTACGATACAAAGATGCAGTCAATCGTCAACAACATCTGCACTTACAGAATTTTGAAACGTGACCCAACCAGTAAATTACAAGACAAAAATAATGAAATAGTGGAGAGATTATATAATAACAAGGCCATTGATTTAAAAGAAAAGAACAAGCTTATTAGTAAAACAGCCAATCCACCAAGAATCTATGGTTTACCAAAAATACATAAAGAAGGGATACCCCTCAGACCCATTTGTTCGTCCATCAAGTCCCCGTCCTACAATTTGTGCAAATACGTTGTCAATATCCTTAGAAACATTACAAAATCTTCCAATTACAATGTTAAAGACGCGATTGATTTCAAGAACAGGATTAAAGATACTTATATATATGATGACGAAAGTTTAGTGTCGTTCGATGTTGTTTCGTTGTTCCCAAGTATCCCGGTGGATTTGGCTATAAATATTATTGCCTCGAAGTGGAATGATATTAAAGAGCATACAAATTTGTCTAAGGATTTATTCTTAAGTATGGTAAAATTTTGCATAAAAGATAATCGATATTTTAAATATAATGGCAAAATATTTGAGCAACTGTCAGGAATGCCTATGGGCTCCCCAGCTTCACCAGTGATAGCTGATATAGTAATGGAAGATTTACTGACCAAATTTGAAAGTGATTGTTCTAATAAACCGCGTCTCCTAACCAAGTATGTGGATGATTTGTTTGCCATAATTAAAACAGAAGATATAGACAAAATGCTTACTTTATTAAACAGCTACCAAAAGACGATTAAATTTACGATAGAAATAGAAAAAGATGGAAACCTACCATATCTGGACACCCTAGTAATCAGGAAGAACAACCGATTAAAAATTGACTGGTATGCAAAACCTACGTCGTCGGGGAGATTAATTAATTATAATTCGAAACATGAGAGGAAGACTATTTTAAATACCGCAACCAATTTTATTAGAAGAGTTCTCACTATTAGCGACAAACATTTTCATAAAAAGAACAAAAATATAATCCAACAAATTTTGGAACAGAACGAATTCCCCTCTTGCTTAATTAGGAAACTCATTCAGAATTATTACGTCAGGACCGATAAAGAAAATACTTATAATGAGAATAAAGTATACAAAACCGCTACATATGTTCCGGGGATATCTGAGAGGATTAAACATTCTAATATATATGATAAAGAGAAGGTCCAACTAGCATTTACATGCAGCAACACATTAGGAAAAATATATAGCAACACTAAGGATAAGATTCCTAGATGCGAGAAATCTGACGTAATATACAAAATCTCATGCAATGGCGACGGGTCCCACTTATGCCACAAAGTATTTGTGGGGACAACTAAAACTAAACTCAAGACAAGGATTTCCGCACACAAATCAAATATAAAGTTAAGGAACAGCTCAACTGACAATAAGACGGCCTTGTCAGCACACTGTAGGGACACTATCCCGATTTCGATATTGTTGCCATTCTACAAGAACTATAATAAACGCTATATTTTGGAAATGTTACACATTACGAACACCCCTAATGAGAGAAGGATCAACTTTAAAACGGACACAGACAATTGTGCACATGTGTATCGCAATTTGGTGTTAAACCGGCAACAACAATCCTCAACGTAGGTGTTCCGTTCCGCCTTCCATAATCAACATTCGTTCCGTTTCCCCAACATACCTTCATAAAATAACAATAAAATGCTGCGCTTTTACATGTACATATGCTTGTACATGTACATATTGTCTTACTGCTAAATGTTCCGTGTATTGGTGTTTGTATGTTTTTTGTTTACAATTACGGTATTTTTAATTGTTTACTTCTTATGTTTGTATTCATTTGCCTAAAATTTCACTTGTTTAACTTTTATTTCTGTACGCCTAATCAGTCCTCCAGGCACAATAAATAATTTAAAGTTAATAATAAGTTATCGTGTTTGTATGTATATTTACAGTCCTGAAGATGACCTCAGATTGAGGTCGAAATATCGACAATTAAAAATATCAATCTAACGAAGTTTTTGCGTTTTATTTAATTGCTGGGCCTCGAGCTTGTTAAAAATTAAAAATGATTCATAATTTAAAATTCAAAGGCCAACAACAAAAACAAAATATGTTTAAGCGGAGGGCATACCGGAATCGATCACAAAGACTCGTCAAGAGTCTACAGAAATATTAAGGACAATTATGATATAAACACCAACAAGCGTATCAAAAACTACCAACGCATAACACAACACATGACAAAGCTGTCGGAGGCGACGAAGTTCCTGGAGAGGTGCAGGAGAACAGGATTAACAACCAACTTCACCGACAACGCTACGAAAAATATACTTTACATAATCAACAATAATACCAGTAACAAAGCATTACAGTAGTATATGCTAGCAGCGCTGCTTGCACTGGTCCAGAATCGGCATATGGTTTGCTGCTTGCACCGGTGCAGAACNGGCATACCGGAATCGATCACAAAGACTCGTCAAGAGTCTACAGAAATATTAAGGACAATTATGATATAAACACCAA